GCTACTTCAGTCGACGCCGAAGCTCGAACTGCAAGTCCGACTGACGCCGTCCGACGATGAAACAGACCCGGCTGAAGGCGCCGAGGACGGTAGATCCTCGATGCTGTTCGGACGCGCTTCCAGTCTTTACATGTCGACCAGCGGCCAGCTTCAGATTGACGACTCTTCTGACTCGTCTTTCATGCCGTCGCCCAAATTGTCGCTGGCCAAATCGCACGGGTCAAGGCAACTCACATTAACAGGTAGAGCTAATTTTGGTTTCATTTTTTGTTTTTATGCCTTTAGCTTCTTGTGCTCAGGTCGACAGTCGTATTCAGATGGAAATTTGATGATTTTGTCTGTTTATTTTTTTTCTTTATCCATTTATTATTTGTATTAGTCAATTTATTAATCCAGAAAATCACTTAATACTTTTGAGTAGCCAAGATAAAAATACTAAAAATTAAACAAGAAAACACAAAAATGAGATCAATTATCTCATTAATTATTCAATTGGTAAGTTTAATGAATTAATTTAGCTTTCAATAATAAAATATTAAAATAGTTTAAATTAATCTTGGGCAGTTGGTGAGCTAGTTATTTATTTAATGATAAAGTTAATTTATTGAAGTAGTGCAAATGTTATTTCGAAGAGCGGCTAGGTGTTGGGTAGAGCCGGACAACTTTTGTTGTAGAATTTTGCAATCCTAGCTCTGGTACTTTCCTTAATATAAAAGACGCAAGCTTGTTCTGGCAACACAGGAAATGAGGTAGTTTGAAAAGGCGGGTAGAAACGGATACTGAAGATGTGAACTTAGAATGTTCACTTCGTGAGTTGATTGATTGATTGACTTAATTAAATTAAATTTTGGGTTAAATCTTTGGTTTAAACATTTAGTAAGCGTTAAACTTCCTCGCAATTTATTACTTTTCTACAACTAAACACAATTTACTTTAATTTATTCCGGCTTTTTTGACTGGTCTGGCGTTTAACACTAGCATAAACATTGATGCAATAGTAGCATATAATTTTTTTCAGAATCCACTAACTC